ACACACACACACACACACACACACACACACACACACACACACTCATCCTTGTTAATGTGTCACAGGAGGCCTAAAAGAAGCTTAGTGGGTTGTGGGGCCGACCCTTTCTAGAGGTCCTAGAACTATGAAAAAAATCTGGCTAGTCCCCCCAAAAATGTTGATACTAAAAATCACTTTCAATAAACACAATTTGAAACTTTATTTTACATGTTAGTTTTTTAGTCACGTGTCGCCTATTTCTAACATTCATGCTTTTCAGGGTTCACCTCTACACACATGAGATTTTTAGTCTGTTATGGGGCTTGTTTTTAATGTGCAAGCTGTAAGAGACCCGTCTTTACACACACATGATTTTTCACACATACACATGAAACATTCAGATGACACATTTCATGCTCACAATGAACTGATTAACAGATGTTAAACTTTTAACTGTGATAGAACTGTTTGCCAAGTATTATACTGAAAGTGAAAATCATATTTGAATAAAAATTAACACACAATAAAATTGTTTACCTCTGCAAATGCAATACCAGCAAATATTAAATTGTAGCATTTTATAAAAACACAAAACTAAATGTGTAATTTACTCCTCATGATCGTTCTATAAAATTTCTTAGTTAAACTTAGATTTAAAAATTAGATTTATTCATTGTATGTTTTCGCTTTTCAACTCTAGATTAACTTTGTCGGAATGAATTTCAACACAGTAGGAAAAAATATACCTTAAAAGGGAGTCCAGCAAACTATTTTAATATAAATTTTAAAAAATAAATAAATTCAAACCTGCATTGTGAGTCTGATAAATTTCTTTTTGTTTTTCATTTCTAAAAGTGAAAGAAAATTTTACATGTAGTGGGGGGGGGGTTGTTTTGTTTTTTTATTATTATTATTATTATTATTTACCATAATTTTTCATTCTTGTTGGTTTCAGTTTTGTAGATATCTCATGTAACACACAGCCTTCTCAGAATATTCCCTCTAACCTTCATTTTGATTCTTAGGTCAAATGTGCTGTTTGTTCTTGTTTTTCTGTAACTTGAAACATTATTTGGTACAATAAAGTTTCAGTTAAAGTTGAAGTACAATACATTTACATTTTGCATATCAGTTTGGCCTGTTTTGACTACTGCTGCCAATGGCCACATTGGATGTATATTTTCAGTGCCTCAGAAGGAGAAATTTACTAAAAGTGGTGAGAGGTTGTGATGAATGAAAACAAGAAGAGAATCTGTAAAGTCTATGTTAGTTTTTAACAATAATGCTATTGAAATATTCAGCCATTATGTATGTGTTTTTTTTAATTTGTGCAGATATTAAAGTCAACATCTGTATACTGAAGGCTTACATCTCATAGATGAAGAGGTCAGGTCTCCAGAGAATGCTTTTAGGAACTGAAATCTCAGTGATCCCACAAAACTGAGCTGGATCCCAAGAGATGCGTTCGTCTTTCCATTGCTGCATAAAAGCAGATAACAAAAAATAAGTAACAAAAAATCTGCCCTAAAAAGGAAGGCAACACTTGTAATTGTAATATTTGTTGAGATATGAATAAAAATTAGATAAAAGTTGTCAAAATTAATTTAATTGGCTCACCACTGACACCCAGACGAAAGGTACAAAGGTTTGTGTTTTCTCAACCTAAGAGTAAGGACATAAACATTTTCAGAAAAATGACCAACATTAATTATCTGAGGAGTAGGGATGCTCCAATCTGATCCTAAGTATTAGTTTGGGTTCTACAGTGATCTATTTCGAAGTCAGTGGCTGAAATTACCTCCTGATCTTTGTTGTCGTTGTTTTCATAGTGATTTTATCAGCTTTCCCACAATGTACTCTGCAGCTCCCCATTGCAAAGAAAGACTTTTAGATCAACCCGTTTTCAGTGCAAAAACTCATAAAGTGTTTTGCATATTGCTTTATTCCTTTGTCCATTAAAATATCAGAATCAGGACATCTGTACTAATGAGCCTCACATCAAAAAGCATACAGTACCACTGACAGAATGGCGTAGAGGATCATATCCGTCTTCACCACCGTGGTGTGTGTGTGGTCCAGAACGGGTCTGGTCATTTTAAACACATTGGTGTCCACTGTCAGGTTTAAGTAATCCAGAACATCCTGATAACTGCAAACTTTACAGGACACCCCACCTACAGAAAGACAATCCATACTGAAGGATTTAACAGAAATACAGCATTTTTGGAATAGGTTTATTAAATCATATAAGCATAGCTTAATTAACTGCTCAAACTTCTTGGTGAATAGAACTTTTCAATGTTTTTTTTTTCTTTCTACACAGATAATTACTTTGAGAATGAGCCGCATTTATTTAGATTCCCTCTCATCCAGGTCATGCTATAAATAAAAGCTTCTCTTGTTTCTTGATTAAGTTTCACTTCTCATCCAAAATGCTGCTTCAGTTCTGAGAGTATTTAGAAGTAACAAGCCTGTAAGTTAATGTCAGAACAATAACATTAATAGAGCCATAAAAAATGGGGCCACTAACACTCTCACTTTGAAATGTTGCTGACTAAAAGCAGGAATTATTATGCCGTCATTCATTCACTGTAGTTTTTAGTTATTTGTCACACAATGTATCTAACTGAAAATATGTGCACAAAGGATGCACCTGTAAGTAATAGACCGCTGGTTTTATGTTTCTGTCGGCTAACAATTTGATTAGTTGTGAAGCCTATGTCCTGCTGCTAAGGTGAATCTTTAAGTTAAAATCTGATTATTTATAAAACAAAACTTTTACAGTTTGAGAGCTAGATAACATTTGTACTTCAAAATTACTTCATCTATAAATTTAAACTATTCGAATGAAATTTCTCTCAACATGTACATTTTGAATGTGCATAAAGTTAGTTCATGTCACTACGTAGAACACTTGTAGGCAACAAATATTTGAAATGTTATTGCTCTGCTATCACATTAAATAAAGTCCTAAAACAGAAATGCATATTTAAAAAAAACTTACCTGTGATGATAACAAGCAGAAAAAATGAAATGTGCATCATCTCAGGAGCTTTTCGCAGTCTACTGTTGCTGGGACAGTCCTTTATTCTCATCAGTGAAGTCCAACCAAACACATTTAAATGAGCTTTCCCTCCATTGTAGACATGTGTGACAGATAATTAGCTTACAGAGGGAGGGGACAAACATTGCCTGCTATTTATCTGACTTTGATACTTCTGACAGCTGAGATTTCTGCAACAGATGACTTTAAAAAAAAAGCCAAACTGGATATAAAAGGCAGGTGGAAGACATCCATCAGCTTAAAGCCAGAGATAATGTGACTTTACAGCTTGCTGTCAACAAGAAGAATAATAGGACCAATTTAGCTCTGAACTTGTGACTTGAGCTCACAGTTAAAGGAGAAGATGATGCAACATGTACAATTTGATTAGAATGGAACCGAGACAATGTAAGAGCAACATTATGAGCTCTGTCCCCAATTAAAGCCATTTGTTTTATTGTTGTCTCCTGCCAGTCTCACTGTGGGCGGCTGAGCGCTGAAACCCAATTCTTCACGACAAAGTTTGCTCAAAGCCAGGGATTAACATTGTAGGGTCTTCTCCTGTCATCCATTACCATGCAGAGAACATTAAAGACACCAAAAGGAGGGTTGTGAAATAAAATAGAAAATTTGAAACTTATTAAATTCAAAACATGCAACTAGTATATAGATTGATTAAAGTCAGAGTGATGTATTTCAAGAATTAACTTCAATTAATTTGAATAAGTGTGACTTATATTAAAAGATAATAATCCACACACATCCATATTATAAAATAAATAATTTTTAATTCACAAACATCATCTTTCTGGAGAACATATTTATTATAGATTATAAGCAGTCAATAGTTTGCTAAAATGCATTTTTTAACTAAAAATTGGAACAAGATAATATTGTACCAAATGTAAAATTGATAAAATTATCCTGGTTACACAAAGAATATGTAAAGCCTGTGACTTAGTCCACAAATTCATTAGAAAACAAGTAATAATTCCTCATTTGTTGTTCCCCCTCTTTCTATTTTGATGTGCATTCATGTTTTCTCTTTTGTTTGGCGCACATCAATATCAAAGTCAGAATACTAGAGTAAATGTTTATATTTTAAAGACAGCTGATAGTGTATACGCAAAGAGAAATAAATGAAAAGGAAATGTGGATGTGAACTATGCCTTCATGTCAAGCCTATTAGCAGCACTAATAAAAGCAAGACTCCTTTTTTCATGTATTTATTTCAGGTAACATGTTAACTCAGTCAAGATTTTTTTTCTGACAATGGATCCCATATTATTACTCCATATCTATGCCATCTGCATTAGCTCTGTATTAGCTCTCATTAATATGAGATGCATTAGTGGTTTATACATCTTTAACTTTTAAACTGAGTGGAACACTTTGTCTTCTACAATATGCAGCTGCATTTTAAAAACATGCACATTTTATTTCTTTAGAAACACGTTCAAAATGTAAATTCTCAAATTCTCCAATTAAATTTCATTAAAATTAAATACTTTCCTTTAACAGGGACCAGGAGGTCTCTCTGGGAAAACATTTTTTCTTTCTCTTTGATCACTTTTAAATTTGCTTCTTTTTTGCAAATTGCTCATCTGCTGAATTAAAGGTGCCTCTGTGCATCTATTTAGTGAAGTGCAAAACAGCTGCCAAAAATGGGGTAAACTGGACAACTTTTACATATTAAACAAGTTCCATCTGCAGCAATTCAATTGCACTTGAACAAATTAGCTTAGATTTCTAAGACTTCCATTCTCTGAAGATAAGGTAGAGAAAGAGAAAAACTGTGACGGTGTAGCAGATGAAGAAAGATCTGTTGATTCTTTTTGCCCAAGACACCATCTTAACTTTTTCTTCTCTGTTGCCAAGATGGACGTAAACAGTTTTCTGCAGCTTCTTCAGCTCATCCAGGATCAACAGCAGCACATGAGATTCTCCTGATGGAAGAGTGCTGTTCACCTGGAGATAATCAGATGCTAGTATTGTTCTTGTTGCATCGGACACCATTTGACACAAACTTGCAAGACTGCTGAGGCTTCACTCATGAACAAGTGTAGCTGGCTATCACCGTGCTAGGCTGTGAGAACTCATGAATAACCTGTGCCAGATTCTTTGAAGCAGACGATATGAACGCATATTAAGGCTGTTGTAGATAGAAAAAACAGAAGTAAATTTCTGCCAAAACAAACTCAGACATTTTGAGATTCATCTCAAAACGTCTGGTTGTATTTATTACTACTAAAGTGGCATTAGAGTAAAAAATAGTACAAAGAGTGAAAGACCAACAAATAAGTAAAGTCACACCATAACAAACCTGCTTTAGCACTCAATTTATTTTAAATGAAATGTAAAAACTGGCTATAGTTGATAATTTGTCTGTATTCCAGATTTGTATGATCATTATCAGGCCACTGTTTGTCCTATTACAATGTAAAATAGGACAATAGGACAACAGGACCCTGAAAAGTCCCAATAGTGTTTCAGTTTTCTCTGTTTTGCTGCATTTGGGTAGAAATTTGTCTCTGGAACATGCAAACAAACAGTTTGCATTTCCAAATCTAATGCAAAATATGAGTTTCTACATAAATATGATGTCATACCTCTTCAAGTACAGGAAGAATCTCATGCTGCCTTTCCTTTTCTGCAACTCTGCAGATGCTTTTACAGATGGTTTGCTCCTCATCTTCTAAAAGCAAGATAAGTTTTTTTAGGAATTTGTCTGCAGACATAAGAAGTATAATAAAAAGGCAGTACAAAAGGTAGTACAAAAAGAGTAAGCACCTTTCTCTGGACTTTATAGAAACAGACAGATAAAACCATCGCTTTACAGATATTCATGTAATCTAAAAGGAGACATAAAATTATGTCCAAGAATATGGGACTTCTAAGGCTCTGGAAGTCAAAAACTAATGTGCATAATGGAAGAAAGACAAGAAATGAAAGAATAAACTTTGAAATTTTTTGTGCAGATACAAGTTGAGTATCAATGCATTAATGTGAGATTTACTGATCTGATGCTTCTCACCTTTGTCACAATTAGTATTTTTTTGCTTGCTCTCCTGGTTTTCCTGTGGGCTGAACTCATCTTTTTCAATCAGATACGTGACCAGGATCGTCTCCAAAAGACTCAGCAGCATCAGAGCGAAAATCACAATGCAGTAGGTCGCTAAGTGGAGCAGGAAACCATATTAGTATCGTTTGTTTGAGAAGTTTAACATAGATTTGTGTTTAGTGCACAGTTTGTACCGATCAGTGGAGTCCTGTTGGACATGGCAGGCAGGATGTCATTAAGGATGACCAGGAGGACAGAGATGGCCAGCAGAACCGTGACTTTGAAGCCCAGTTTCTCCCCCCGATGGTCCGAGATGAAGAAGGAGGCGAGGTCCAGGGAGAGGAAGAACAGGATGGGCAACAGGAAATTGATGACATGGAGGAGGGGCCTTCTCTTTATGGTGACCTGAGGAAACACATGTAAACTGTTTAACTGAGATTGTGTTACTTGGTTTTATCAATTTTAGAGTATTTTTCCAAGACTATTGCTATAGGGAAATATGTTACATTATTTGGATTTTTGAGCATCTAAAATTGCCCAGACATTTTTATCAAGCAGAGACATACTTGCAGAAACAGCTTTATATTAATTGCCTTTCTTCACTTTGTTGTTTTTGCAGGTGATAAATAAGCCTGTCACAATAGCAATTATTCAATTAAGATGAGCTAGATAAATTTCACCACTCTTATGATTAATTATTTTTGAAAGGGAATTTTTATGCACAGAAACTTCATATTTCATTTTATTCATGTTTATAGTTGTGTGTACTTTTTATTTCCTTTTTATTTATTGCTTTGGATTGTTGTGCTTTATTTTTGCATATTTAAAATGTCTTCCAGTGTAGAGTATATTGTGCAAAATGAAAGCTTATTAGTCTTTGATCGGGTGAACTTGCATTTCTTTTCCATTATCATGTTATTAGTTTAAAAAACAACATTATTGTTTATCAAAATAATTTCTGGGATAATTTATCACCCAGTAAAATGAGTTGTTGTGGCAAACCTGTGTGTTACATACTGTATATATGAGCATGTCCCAGCTTCTGTTCTCGTAGGTAATAAGGGAGTTGTTGACAGACAGATGCAGGAACTCCCACTCTCCCTGCGTCTTCATGATCTGCTGTGAAAACTGAGTAACCCGAGACGAGTTCGAAGATGGAAGAATCCGCATTTCCTTCTCTGATGGCAGAGAAAACACAGGGCAGTAAATGAAAGGCAATTCATAAAAGCCGTGTGGCAGTCATAACATTGACAGAAACGCACCGCAGTAAACTGAAGAACCAATCGACAGGCTGCACTCTTGAGTGTCAAAGGGAAACTTGTGGACATCCATCTTGCAGGTGGTGACGACACGAATGTCGTCACCAGCAATGATGGTGCCGTCGAAATTCACCATTACGTTCAGGTAACGAGGCGAGTCGTCCTTCTCTATCCTGAAGCAAAACACACATGTGCAGCACGTTTCTTTTTATGGTGCGATTTGGGAGCGTTTACATGGAATCTGAAATAAACTGAACCAACAGAGGCTTGATTTTCTCCTTACAGCTGCAGGGTAACTGTTTGCTTATCATTATTCTGTAAATAGCGGCACATACTATAATAAAAATGAGAACACAGTAAACTAATTGACTAAAGCATAACTTTCCTTATTGTTGCAGAATTATTAAATTCTGCAACTCGTGCAGAATTTAATAATATGTTGCACATGTTGACATGTTTTGTTTTAAGCTGGTTCTTTTAGCTTGTTTCTTTTTTGTTGTTGTTGATGTAGTTTGAACTTCATATACTCCAGACGCAAATGCATAAATATTACTAATTAATAAAAACTGGGGATTTTCTCACAAGGTCGTGGAAGAGCTGGTTGCCAGTCCATCAAAGGGCAACACAGAAATACTCAAATCTAAGAGAAATTTAGAATATCCACCCAAAATATGATACTTTGTTGGGAACTGTTTGGTATTTTTTAACTTCTGTTGAATTTATGAAGTCTTCGTAAACTGGTTTTCAACTTAGATGAATAAAAAATATGATTAAATGTGAAATGTCTTTTTAACAAGTTGCAGCTATATGTAGTGCCTTGACATTGTTATACTTAAATGCACATTTCAAATAAAGTGGAAAAAAAATCCGCTATGTTTTTTAATGCTTTGGTTTAAATCAAAAATTTGAAGTCTAACATAGAGTTGTATTCAGCTATCAGTATGTGTCTACCTGCTTTGCACATCTAAAAGAGACTCAACTTGTTGCCCATTTTTCTTTATGTCATAGCTCAACTTTGGTAAGATTGGTTGGAAATCATCTGTGAACATCAATTTTCATGTCTTGACAGATTTCCAGTTTAATTTAGGTCTGGACTTTGACTGGGCCATTCTAATATGAATTTGCTTTGATCTCAACCATTTTGCTGTTGTTCTAG